TAGTACAAATTTTGCTAATACTCAGTTTATAGTTTTAGTACAAATTTTGCTTATACTCAGTTTACAGTTTTAGTACAAATTTTGCTTATACCCACTTTATTCCTAAGTTTAACTTCATACTGTGTTTATATGTAATGCTGTAAAACTCATAAAAATGTATGTCTTTAGTATCGTTGCGTACATTATACGTGGGTGTGTGCGCCCGAGGTGGTTACGAGGCGGTATGTCGCGCACGACTGTGGCCCGCTCTCAGCCATGACCAGCCGGCGAGAGCTCGAAGACACTATGAAAGGTATAACACTAGACACATCCTCCTTCTTTCTCCTCCAAATAACTCTATCACCCATCTCACTCATCTTGATGTCACCTTTCACAATCCATCTCTTTTTAAATCTACTACCGTTGTACCCCCACATCATCATCATCATCATCTCCCTTACCTTATCCTACTCCAATTGGCACTGGGTTTTCCTCCTCCATATGTCTATCATTTTCCTCTGTCACTCCCTTCTTGTTGTCACTTTTCACAATCCATCTCTTTCTATGTCTACTATCGGTGTAACTCCACATCATCTCCCTTACCTTATCCTACTCCAATTGGCACTGGGTTTTCCTCCTCCATATGTCTATCATTTTTCTCTGTCACTCTCTTCTTGTTGTCACTTTTCACAATCCATCTCTTTCTATGTCTACTATCGGTGTACCTCCACATCATCTCCCTTACCTTATCCTACTCCAATTGGCACTGGGTTTTCCTCCAAATAACTCTATCAGTCATCTCAGACACTCTACTTGTTGTCACCTTTCACAATCCATCTCTTTCTATCTACCTCTACCAGTGCACTCATAACTAACATTCTTCTTGTAACATGCGATTCATCCATGTCATGCCCTTAGCTAACCTTTTACTCCTTAATTACAAAACTAAACACATACATGGATTTTGAATTTAATATGATAATTTGTTTTAGAAGTATTATAATTATTAACGAAAGGCTATCACTCTTATTTTAAATAGTAATTTTTGTTTTTAAAATATAATTTACTTGATTATCGAAAGAACCTTATGTCTTAGTTTTATATTGCCTCTGTTATTCTACTGACAAAAAGGGTAATATTTTTTTAACCCAACTGTCAAATAAGATAATGTATTTTCCGAATTGGCAAAGAGATTGTTTTGTTCCCTGACTGACAAAGAAGGTTGTGCTTTTCTCGCGTATCTATGTTTGTGTGTTAACTATTTCAACACAAAGTAAAGCAAGTATTTTACTTTCAGATATTTACTACCTTTTGAAAATCACGAAAGGAAAAATGGCACTAAATTCCAAAAGATAAACGGCCATGAGCCAAATATAGACACAATTGAATTAAAAGACTCACCTTTGAGAGAATTGAACTCAATAAAAGGACTGCCAGATAAAAGATTGAGAACTCCATCTCCGAAGAAAGAGAGAGTAGTTCTAGATAATGAGACAGGAGAAGTTGTTAAGACAGAAGAATTAAATCTCACTTCCAAACCTGCAGAGGAATTGAATAGAGAATTTTTAGATTCTTTACCCAAAGAAGATAAGCCTAGTTTGAAAATTTCAGTAAAACCAGTGGAGGAATTGATTGAAAGTGACGGGAAAAGAGATGGATTCTTTAATGAATTGACGCAGAAACTTAATTTGGGTAAGTTTTATCTATAGTTTGAAGAGGAAAGATTTGTATTTTTGTATTGAAGAACTCAAAAACTACTAGGCTGATTTCAAAAAATTGTTTCACAAGAGCAACAGCTAGTATGTTTATAAAAATGTTTACGTTCAAATGTGTGTAGGAATAAAATAAAAAAAAACGGAATATTTTGTATTTCTGTTTGTTACTAATAGACTCAAAAACTACTTAATCGATTTGAAATTTTTTTTCACTATCAGAAAGCTACATTATTACTGAGTGTTTTGGGATATATCATTATTATTAAAAAGTGTATAAAGTAATAAAAACACAATAAAACAAATGTCTACCCATTGTTCCATACTAATATTATAAATGTGAAAGTTTAGATGGATGTTTGTCAGAGTTTGTAGCCTAAACGGCTGAACGGATTTAGATGAAATTTGGTACAGATGTAGAGGATAGTCTGGAAGAACACATAGGATACTCCACTTTCATTTTTTTAAATCTACGCGGACGAAGTCGCCGGCGAAAACTAGTATAGATATGATATTTAACATACAGCAAATGCTGACGCAGCGTTACTGCACCAGCTGGCAGACAGAAAGATGGTGAACGGCCATCCCCCGCACCCGCCGCATCAGCTACCCCCCACTTCATCCCCACTTCTGCAAACAACCCACATACCAGACCAGGTGAGTTTACACTAAGTTTACACAAAGAAATTCAAATAATATACAGAAAGGCATAGTTTACACTTAAAACCAGATGTTTTTATTTAGAGTAGACAGTGAAAATTTCTCCGGTAACTTCTTTGAAGGGTACTATGCCAGTTGTCAATTGCCTGTCTTATTAAATGTTAGTGTATTTTCAATATAAAATGACATGTGAATACAATGTTTCTTGTATACACATGTCATTTTGACATTTGTATACAATTTTTCTTGTATACACATGTCATTTTGACATTTGTATACATTTTTTCTTGTATACACATGTCATTTTGACATTTGTATACAATTTTTCTTGTATACACAAGTCATATTGACATTTGTATACAATTTTGTATACACATGTCATTATGACATTTGTATACAATATTTCATAGTACATTTTATACAATTTGTCATTTTGACATGTGTATATTAAATACATTTTCAAGTTCAAGTTCAAACAATTGTAGATTTTAAGGAATATAGAAAGTTTCCCAAATTATACAACATACAAGTCTTTTTATGTTTTTTTTTTTCTATATATCTATACTATTATAATAAAGTGTAAACACACACTTCTTTGTTGCCTAAGATGTCAGCAATTGCAGCATATTTTTGAATATATTTTTTTCAATAAAAAGCCCTACGCTTACGTCACGCTTTAGGCTATATATTTTGACGCCATTAAACTTAGGGGGTAAATATTTTGGATAAAAACCCTAATGCGGGAAAGAGACCATAAGTTGCTGCCAACATCAAGGAAGCAAGACTGTCATGGTCATGTCATGTCATTTTGACATTTGCTATTGATAATTTGACACATGTAAACAATAAAATAAAGTTTTTATAATTCCATACGGATGAAGCAGCACGGGAACAGCTATTGAACAATAATACTAATAATCTAAATAAAATTATATAAATAAATAAAATTATTTATTTAATAACAGAGGAGCGGGCGTCCTTTGGGCCGTAGTTCTCTGCGCGCTGTGAGAGTGAAGCCCGCGCGCCCCCCGCCCCCACCACCCCCCGCACACCCCCCACCCCACAGCGGTGAGTACATTTTTTTATATAATAATGTGGCAAACTCGCAAGCGACTTGAATCCACCGAAATGTAAAGCGACCGCTGCACAAACATCCGCAATTGCAGCGCTGCCTACCCTTCATTGACGGAGACGGACATAAAGAGGATATTTCACCGTGAAATCCACTTTTCCTTCCCATCATTTCCTCTTAAGAAAAGGGTAGGAAAGGGAAAGCGACTAAAATTGGGCCTACGGCACCACACTCATCAGGCTGCACGCGGAATTGCTTCCACTTCACACCTGTCTGTGTGGTCGTGGTATTACTGGGGGCGAGCCGACCCTGCAGTGCGAAGATGTTAAAGCGGGCTCTACCACTGTTAAAACATACACTCCTACAATACATACAATAAGAACAATATTTTAAATGCTCTTTTAAAATATTGAACCAAATTACACTTCTCAAATTACTATTTGATGTGAAAATCGAAGTCATTTAAAAAAAACACACTTTAAAGTCATTTGTTTTAATTCAATTTTAAATATTTAAGGATATATCTGTAATAACTAACAAAATTGATAAATACGCTTGTAAAGCTGTAGAACATTTGAGAGAGGCCTAATTTTAGTCCCTTTCCCTTTCCACCCTATGCTTAAGAGGAAAGGATGGGAAGAAAAAGTGGATTTGACAGTGGAGGAGACGCATAGGAAGGGGAAATGTCCTCTTTATGTGCGTCTCCGTCAATGTAGGGTAGGCAGCGCTGTAATTGCAGATGTTTATGGGCAGTCGCTTTACATTTCGGTGGATTTAAGCCGCTTGCGAGTTTACCACTCTCTATTATCATTATAAAATAGTGAGATTTCATTTTCTTGTGTGTCAAAAGTCCTATTTATTCAACAAGTATTTAATTTCAGCATCAGTGCCATTAAGGACGGAGTCAGCTTCCTCCCCACAACCAGCTCTCAATAACTTTGGTATCCACCACCCCCAAACACCCCCCAACGCCAGCCACAGCGACGACGAGATTGTAGAGGTAAGTTGTAGGAAAACACTCATTGTTTTTTATTTTTATTCGACGTGTTGGTGTTTTTGTGAGTATTTGATAAAATGAAATAAATTGTTTCATGTATTTAATTAATAAATTAATGAGTAAATAAATAAAAACGTACACTCAAATTGAGTACTTCCTTTTGTGAAGTCGGTCAAAAAACAAGAAAGATATAGACTTTATATAATAAAAAATAAAGTATAACTAGCGGATGGAGCCGCATACGAACGTATATATTTACAAAATAAATTATTTTCTCAGGTACCCTATAAGCCAAAAACTCCAGAAATAATAGATTTGGATGAATACCCTGAGAGCCCTCAGGGGGTCAAGAAGAAGAAACTCGATATACTAAAAGAACGCGGGCTGGAGGTGACCGCCGTGCCCCCCGCACCCCCCGCCTGGCCTCTCGCACCCCACATGCCACCCCTCGCACCCCTCGTCCTCAACCCCGCCGTGCAGCATCAGATCATGACCCAGGCGCAGCTGTTCCACATGTACAACATCCTCCCCCCACACCTCCCCAACGGAGTACAACCCCCAAAAGTCATACAAGGCACGGGCATCTTCGGCTCAACAGGACCAGAGAAAACCGTATACGGCAACCCCAAAGACCCCTTCATGCCACCCCCACATGTCCTCCATGGGGTCCCCGTCAAACCACAACGCGCTATACAAACACCACCACCACATGACGTACTAGACCTCACCTGCAAACTCACCCCCCAAACCCACATCCCAGCAGTAGAAATAGTAAGAGTACCACCCTCACCCCCAAAAGCACCAACCCCCCAAAATCTATCCAAAAACTACACAGTCATCGACGGAAAAGCAGTCGTCGGCTCTAATTTAGAAATAACTCTAGTCAACCCCAAATCCCAAACCCCACCGAAACGACCCCCACAAAAAAGGTCCTCCAACGGCAAATTCATGTCAGCGAAAACCCCAACACCCCCCAAAGAGTACCCAAAACCATACCAATCACCAGCTAAGAAGAACCCAATCACCATCCCAACTTACCATACAAGAGACACCTCACCAAGTTCCACTGGCTCTAGGGACTCCAACTTATCCCATAAAAGTCCAAGTTTAGCTCAAATGATGGAACTTAAGTCATCGATGCCACCGATGGCACCATTTATGGATCCAGTGTACATGAATGCGTTGTACAATAGCCTAGGTCATATGGACCAGAGACAGCTGGCGGTCTACCGAGACCTGGTCGCGAGCCAGTTCCGAGGGTATACTGGTCTACTGAATATAGGGACTCCTACAACGAAGAATTAGCTCTAGTCTTAAAGCCCGTTGCTGTTTTATGGTCTTTTTTGTTCTGATATTTAAAAAGGAGATTCAAAAAAATATACATTTTAAATGATTGCTATGTATTAACCTAAAAAACACGTTGATATTTTAAAATAAATCTTTAGTTGCATTTTTAATACAAAATCGATATAATAAAAAAAATCTACCATTAAAATTTGTATTGCTTGGTGTCTAATTTGACAACTGTCCTTTCAGAGAAATAGGTGAAAAAAATATTGTCTCTTTTATGTATTATTTGAATTTCTATATGTAACCCCTTTAGTGGTTTTTTTAACTAAACAAGTCTTTTACTTTTGGTTTTTATCCGAATTGACAGATGTATACTTGTAGCCTTTCTGACGATACAGAAATTGTATACAATAAATACAAGTGTCGTTGCAGTAATACATTTGACGTTTAAATTCAAACTTATAAATTGCTTAGTAAAAACTTGAATTTTATTTGATGAAATAATTTCTAATAAAACTACGAAAATAAAATTTAATAATGGCATTTTATTTAAAGGAATTAAACATTTGGTCAATTATGTATGAATAAGTCAAAATTAGTTTAAATTGTCTCGTAGATATAAATGTCCCTTATTGGGTTTTTAATTTGGTATCTACCATGTATAG